ACGACTTTCTTAGCCTTTCAGATAGTTTACCAAAACTACCGCAAATTGTTCGTTCCCTTCGTTTGTCTCCTGGAGGATGACTACTGATTTATTGAGAACATTGGGAAACCAGAATCGTGGAGTTCCCGTGGACGATTCCTTTAGGCCCGGAAGTGCGACTTTGTGAAAAACTTGAGAAATTTATCTGCCTTTTCAGCACATTGATGGAGCTCATTTGCTAACAATGTCACAACAAGACTGCATCGATTCGTTGGGTCTTCAATTTGGGACCAGCACTTAGACTTTATGAAGTTATACAGGCAAGTCATATGTATACGGAAAGTCACTTAGCTCTATATAGTTGGCCACTGAGGATTGGAAACTGTGGCGTAAGTAGGTGTTGAGGAGTAAAATGTCTGATCCAAAATCGCTTGCGTTTGGCACAGACCGTAATAGGAGAAATCAAAGAAGATTAGGTCACTCTTGTGTTCATTGCGGCCCACCGATGATCTAGCTCGAATGGCTCATGATTGTGTGTGATAAACTCGTATTAAAGCGCTAAACAATGGCAATAGTTTAGCCAGTACGACTACCGCTCACTGTCTACTCACATCAACTCCTAAACTACCTAAACTGGCTACTTGAACGTGCAGATATTTCACGTCCCAGTTCAAATAATAGTTGAATTTTTCAGGAGATCAAAAGTGCTAACGAGCACCATTTGTAGCATTGTGCCAAGAGACATCCTCAGGGTCTTTGTTGTACATACATTTCGATGTTAATCGGTTAGACCGATACGCGGTACATTTCTATACTAGTTCATGATTTGTTGTAAAGTGCGTGCTGATTTTGTATTCATATTTTGCTAGCCGTAAATATGCTCATTTTTTGAAAAAGGACGTGTGCAATTTCTAAACTCATTGAACAGGATACGTCGCCTTAATGATCCATGTATTTGCTTGCACTGTTGTACTGTTTTGAGCCATCTTCATTGTGATTCGATCTCTTAGATAGAATATTACTATTTGTTTATCAGTCGCGATACAATTTTATATGTTCTACTATAAACAGAATATCAGCGGTACAAGGTATCAAATGAATACTTATTTCTGGCTCTTCATTTTGAGACAATATCCGCTTGCGAGTAATCTGCGCTGCGGTGTGATATTGTTGGTCCAAAGAGTGTGGTAAGACTTTCTGATTTGTTTTGTCTTCTTTCAGGGTTTCATTTGAATATACGGCCTCGAATTATGTTTCAGTTAATAATAGTGGAGTAGCGTGAGTGAGTGAACTCGGTTGTAAATCACTCAGAGGGCACTAGGCTTTGCCACAATTATTACAGGGGTCGCCATATTGCAATTTGCGTTATGGTAATATTCAACTGTTTTTACGAGTGTGTTTTTTAAGATAGCATCGTGGTTACACGCGCCAGCCAGCTCTTGCTGGTTGGTTGAACCTGCGTTTTGCCTTTCCAAAATTTTCTGTGATAGAGCTTTTCTAAAAAGCCTGCCTGGAATGAAAAGGATAATTTTATTTAACGATTGGCTGGCAACCCAAGATCATTGCTCGAGAATACGCATTCAAGTACTCTTGTAAATCTAAATAAATTGACTGTTTATAATCAATAACTTCGCTAATGTAAGCAATTTTATTTGTGTTCTCCGACGCAACAAAACACATGATTATTGGGTTGTCCATAATTCCTGGCCGATTTTGGTTCAAATTCAATTTTCTTCATGTCAAATTAGCTTCATATAATGAAATAAGTTGATATGTTGAAGAACACATCAGGACCTTCAGCCAGGATGTTTCAGAAGCTCAAATGCGCAAAGGGATAATTAAGTAGGAATCAAAATAGATCAACGACCAAACCCAACGATTATGCCTTACGACAATTTTAAGAAGAACCTTGCAAGGAGCGCGGTAGGCAAGATCAGCGCTACGTTTGCCCCAGTCTTTGCTACTGATCGGGCACTGAGCTATTGGCTCAATAGCATCGGCAAATACGATAGGAGCTGCAAAGTTCGACCTCATCATGGACCTCCAGTCACTTTCGATGAGGACCCCTTGCGCAACGAATAGGAAGTGCATCCGGACGCTATTAGCAGGAAACTGTAGCAAACATCTGGACGCAGCCTACGCTCCATGAGTCGACACCTGAACGTTCCCAAGTTGGTCACCAGTGCAGATGAGTCACGAGTCCACCACGATAACAACACGCGGCACGCCTGGTGGCTACCTCGCAGCCTGGACCCACCATCTCGACCAAAGCCCGAGCTCTTTCATCAGAGGATGTTACCCCGGTTGTTGGATTCGCTGGGTATCCCGTTTTGAGAACCATTTCACTTTATGCAGACAAGCATTGCGAAGGTAACCATGGAATAGCTCCCGAAGTTGGCCGCAGCAGTGCGGGAGAACGGTTCGAAACGTCTCAAAATCTCCTTTCTCCGAAGGACCGCCCGAAATCACATTGCAAAGATAACTCGCCACGTTTCGAAGGAAACTGGCTGGACCACGACACCACATCTATAGCCCTGACATTGCTCCATCGTACTATCACCTCCCCAGCTCCCTGAAGCAGCAGCTAGGAGAGAAAAAAGTCAGTAAATACAACCACCCCAAAAACGACCTCTTCGAGCTTTTCATCTCACAGCTTCACTCGTTCTGGGAGGAATGCATCCATTCGTTCCCTAGCAAATGGATGCATATCAGTGATTATGATGGTGGTTATATTTTTGATCAATTGTTTTTTAGGAAAGATAAAACTTGAAGAAATCAAAGTGTCGAAATTCGGCCAGAAATTATGGGACAACCCAATATGTTACTTCACTTCATATATTCTAAATAGGACAGTTCTGGTGTGAGCATTAGGATTCCATTGGTATGTGTTTGACCATCCGCTGCAGTCCGTCAGGATAAGCATTTCTAATCTCGCATTTCGCTCACAAAATTCGAAAATTTATTTTTGCTTTTTCCTCTGTCCACCGTCGAACAGCCACCATGACGGGCGTGCTAACTTAGTTGGGGGGGGGGGGCACGCGGCGGCGCGGCAGTCTGCTCGCCTGGCATGTTCGGAAATCCGTGGGCCAGGGGGAGTGTAGCCAGCCTAGGGGGTGGGGGTGGGGGCAGTCACTTGACATGCGTGAAAAGCTGGAATGTTCGAGTTTACACTGTCTCGCTCGAGAGAGCCCAGGTGAGCAGACTGCCGCGCCGCCGCGTGGCCCCCCCCCAACTAAGTTAGCACCGAATGCACCTTCGGTCAGAAGTTACCATAACGAGAAAATCTTCACATGGCCCTAACTCCATGCCCCCTAATCTCCTCCTGCCCTTTTCCGCCTCCTTGCCTCTCACGCGAACAACTCCATTCCGATCGTAATTCTCTGATCTTTATCAAGCTATTTTGGGGTGCTAACTTAGTTGGGGGGGGGGGCACGCGGCGGCGCGGCAGTCTGCTCACCTGGGCTCTCTCGAACGAGACAGTGTAAACTCGAACATTCCAGCTTTTCACGCATGTCAAGTGACTGCCCCCACCCCCCACCCCCCTAGACTGGCTACACTCCCCCTGGCCACGGATTTCCGAACATGCCAGGCGAGCAGACTGCCGCGCCGCCGCGTGCCCCCCCCCAACTAAGTTAGCACCCTATTTGGTTTCCTAATCAAATTGTTGAAACGTTCTGAATGAACCCGTGTCTCATCCAGTAAAGGGATACGTGTGGCAATCAGCTGCCGTCGCACTCCCATTCTCTTCTTTGTTTTGCAGCGGAAGTACCCGGAATCCTTGAACCATTTCGCTCCGTTTCCTATCCGGCGAGAGAGCTCAGAGGCAGTTTAAAGACTGCGTTCAACTATCCCTCGACTCGAAGGCAGGCTTTCGCATCTGGGACCGCGCGACGCTGTGGAGTGTCTATTGGAGGCGAATGGTGCTTGTGGTTTCTACCGACGCCAGTTCGTCACCCTCTAACTGTTTTTAAACTTCTTCATTTTCTCTCAATTTTTATGTTTTTCTGCAACTCTCTTTCCCATCCAGCGGTCACGACACTGTGGTCTTTCACAGCTTAGGATCACATGTTGGTTCCTCTGAAGTGCCTCACGTCCAGAGTTAGCCTTGAGACTCTCACGCTTTGCATTTCAAGTATGTAGTAGATGCGTATCGATCACGCTTTCCTGCGATCTTGCGGTTGCAGAATCGCAAACTATGACCGAGGCCTCAGCAGGGGAGCAGTTGTGCTCGGTTAATATCAGGATGTTGTTGTCGTATTAAAGAAGTAAATGATTGATATTGAGAATATGTTGAAGATAAAAGCAATTACAGGAGAAAGTAAGCATGTTGCTATTTTCGCAGCGTCTTTCAACTCTTGTAAAGGCGCGATTATCGATTAGTCTGACCACACGCCTAGTTTGAATGCTGCGCAGCTAAGTCCCGTCTCCAATTAGGGGCTTTGAAAATACGAACTATGTAGTTTTACAACTGGAACTGATGTTTGGTTACCTTTTCTACTTACTGCGTTGATGTTCTTTGTGAACTGCATTGTCCTTATTGATGGTAAAAGATTATAGAACGTATGTTAGTGCCAGCTGTTTTCCAAGTGTCTGATCTTCTGTTGCACCCGCATTATTTTCTTCATTGTCATCCCTCCTTTTTTCGTTTCTTTTATCCTATGTTATGTTCCTCCGCTGACTGCAACAGATAAGCTGTCCATATGTTGTATTCGAAGCCGGAGCAGTGAAGTTGCTTCTCCAACGGATGCGTATTTTGAAGATCAAATCTCGTGCTGAGTTCTTCAGACTATCAGTTTTTTCCCTCCCAGTCAAGCTTGATTCGGTTTTCCTGACTCACGAGCAAGCGCTTCATTTCCCATGGACCAACCAAAGTTGTATTAGACGTGACTGGGAAGGAAGAACACTGGCCTTCCTATCTTCTCATCCCCATATCAATGTCCATACTTAGTAGAAGTCCATGGGCCGGGTGCAGCAAGCCCCAACGAGGGGATGGGGACCCATCCCTCACCCAACTAGGGGATGAATCCCCTCACCCAACGAGGGGATATATCCCCAAGGTTGGGGATATATCCCCAAGGTTGGGGATATATCCCCAACCTTGGGGATATATCCCCAAGGTTGGGGATATATCCCCAAGGTTGGGGATATATCCCCAAGGTTGGGGATATATCCCCAAGGTTGGGGATATATCCCCAAGGTTGGGGATATATCCCCAACCTTGGGGATATATCCCCAACCTTGGGGATATATCCCCAACCTTGGGGATATATCCCCTCGTTGGGTGAGGGGATTCATCCCCTA